TCCAGCAACACTTTTATTATCAATTTCTCCCTATTCTCTCCCTTTCACAGGTGGTTCGTATTTTCCTGAATTTCTCCAATTCCTTATGACCTTTACCCCATATTTCAATGTCATCCCTCTCCCAAATGTGACGAGGTTATTCTCCTCTAGCACATTTTGATGGACAAGGCAATCCATTTTGTTGTCTGACCTCTATATCAAAGTGACAGAGGATTCAGTGGTTTAACAGCTGGAGAAATTTTCATGAAGTGAATGAGATTTAGATAACACTTCCATTAACAGTACTTAAGATCAATGTCCCTACACATACCATTCTCAAATCAAGAGTTTGTGCGTCTCCACAACTTAGAGCCATAAAGTTTTTCTTATTCAAACTGCCTGTAACACAGTTTGGAGTGAAAATTATTTAAGTGACTGTTCAGATAATTTACTGGAAACCTGGAGCAAGTAGAACTAATAAAATAAATAAAATAAAATAAAATAAAGTAAAATAAAATAAAATAATATAAAATAAAATAAGATAATCTATGTATGAATATTCATGGAAGTTTTAGTCATAATAGTCAAAAACAATGTCCTTCATGGTGAATGATTAAACACACTTATAAGATGGAATACCGGCAGCAATAAAAAGGAATGGATTATTGATACATGCTATAACTATTTTCCATTGTAAGTACTGATTCTGTATCAATTATATGTGCTAAAAATATCATCTTCCAGTCTATATCTTGACTTAAACTATGTTTATGGAACTTTTTGCCATGGAGAAGTTTTTGATTTATATATATCACACAATTTGTGAATTTTTTTTTATGATTTGCGCCTTTTGTAATGTCTAAAACACTATTTTCCTGACTCAAAATCATAAAGATATTTTCTGCTATTATCTTTTCTAAGTTTTAAGGTTGCTTTTTCACATTTAGGTTTTTGATCTTTATGTATATGTGTGTATGTGAGGTTCAGATCTAATTATATTTTCTGTTTATTTACTATTCTTTGCATTCTCCATTGTTTTGAATGCCTATTATGTTTAGATAAAGTTAATTGTCTTCATGGATCTAGTCTCTTTTATGGTGCCTAAAAATGCCACATGTCATGTCAAGAAACTTGCCTAAAACTATTTCACACATAAAATTTGGAATATAGAGGAAAAAAGATATACCATAACAATACTAAGCAAATGAAAGCTGTTATACAAATATTCACAGTGTAAAAATTAGGCCTTAAGATAAAAAGCAAGACAGTAACATAAGTAATTTACCATTAACATGAAGTAATCACAAAGTTCAATGTACTTAACAACAGAGCCTTGAAATGTATAAAATGAAAACTGCATGAATTATAAAGAAAAACAGTCAAATCTACAGACACGGTATAATACATTTATGTCTGAAACTAATAGATTAAACAAACAAAAACTTAGTGAAGATATATATATTTGGAATAAAAATAAACTTAATAAACTAAATCAAATAGGTTCAGGATTTCATTCTGAAATAGAGAATACAAACCATTTTCAAGGATATTAGAATACAAACAAAAAATTAGTTATTTGTTGAGTCACAAATAAATTTCAAAGAGTCAATATCAGAAACTATATTTCTGGTCGTAATACAAATAAATTAAGAAAAACACAAAAATAGCCACTTCCCTACTCCATAGTCAGAAACTAAAAAAAAAAATTCTAAATAATTCATGAGTTAAAGAGGAAATAACTGTAGAAATTATAAAACATGTACAACTGAATAAAATGAAGCTCCCATATGTAAAAGTTTGGTGAATACAACTAAAGCTGTAGTCAGAGAGAAATTTACAGCCTTAACTATACATTTTTATCTCATATAAAGAAGACTGATAGATTAATTGTTCTGAATCATGAACTTAGAAAAAGGAAATAAATCATAAACGAAATAGAAGGAACAAATATTAAAGACACCAACAGATGTGGCAGCCTGACACTGCCTGACCATTTTCCTGCTCGAAAGAGTTAATTCCTGACTGCACCCCACCTCCCTTCCCAGGACTCTCAGGCTGATGCAGCAATCCAAAAACCTGCTTAAAGGATTAAGCCGGTTTCCTTAGTTTGGCAGCCAATCAATGTTTTCCTTTTGTTCTACTTCTTTATATGGAATATCTATAGCTGTGTAGGAATGCAGAAGTACAAGATTGTGTAAAACTGCCGCCATGTTACAATCGGGCCTCAGCCTTTGGATAAGAATCCCCTGAGCTGGTGCCAGCATCAATAAACGCTGCTTCCTGCTTATAGCTTCAGTGTCCCGTTTCTCCGTTAGAGAATCCCACAACATAGAAACAAATAAAATGGAATCGAGACTTCGTTTTCCCGGTAATATGGTAGACCCAAGTGTTCACACAAACCCTTACATTGAAAACTACTGAGAATTCTGGACAAAAAAAAAATTTTTAATACTTTAAAAAATAGATTTTTAAATAATTGAAGAACTAACAAAATAGAGAATTTTCAGATGAATATCCAAGTGCTGGCAGGAATTTAGACAAATAAATGAAGCACTCAAGCCACTTTTGCCCTGGACTCATTCGTTCAGCCTTGAATATCTCATCTCTTATCTTTCCTAGAGAATTCCTAAACTTCAGATCAATTGTAACCTTCCCTAAATAAATAACCTTAATGTAGGGAGGAGGCAAGAGAATTAAAAATGTTAATCAAGCTACATTCAGAGACTGCAACATGCTGATCATCCCTGCCTCCAGGCCAGGAGGACACCTTCAGAACAAAGGAAGATTTCTGCTAGAATTGCTAACAGCCCATCCCCACACCTGAGAAGGGGAAACAGGAACCAAGAGTCATTCCCTATGGCTAAAACCATGGGAAACCTATGGATTAAAGGCTGGGAACTGCAAGCAGTCCTTTCACTCTACTTTTCTTATCTCTTCATACTGTATACTCTTCCCCTTCCCCTTCATCGCTGTATGTCCATAACAAAGAAGATGGGTTAACAAATAACAAAGTCTTTTAAACTATAACTCACAGGTTCTAAAGAATGATATATATACTGAATTCCGCTAACACTCGGGGTCCCTCTCAGGGCCTTTACTCTGTCTCTCACTGTCCCTCTCACTCTCTGCCTTTGAGAGGAGACCACACTCCATCTGGGGAGTGTTACTTCTCTTCTAATAAACTCTCTTTTTAACTTTAACTTTGGTGTGTTGAATTCTTTCCACATTCTCCCATCAAAGGACCCTCTTCTCTTGGTACAGGGCTTGATCTCCCCACCACTCAGGAAAATTTGCCCTGTCCTCTGCATCAACCTGACCAGTTTCTTGTGGTATATGTCTGTTTAGAAATGTCTATCATATTATAATAGGTACTCAATAAACACAGATTGAATGAGTATAAATAAATGAGTGGTATAAACTGGGGAGAGCCATTGGGTCACAGAAACAATATTTAGAAAGAAGGATGTGACGTAGAGTTGGGACAGGCATCCCAGATTCTGTGTTTTCTTACCATGCCAGCAGGGCCTCATCATGTAGTGTAGTCACATTCAAGTAATGCCCACTCGAATGCCCAACTAAAGAGTTGCAGGGCAGGGTAGGGGGTTGAGCACAGAACCAGAGCTCACCCGAATCCACATCTCTGTACTGGCAGATAGGCCCTGTTGCTCCAGTTGCCTGGGGGTCAACATTGCAAATCACAGTCTCTTCAGTTCCTGTAGGTCCCCGGAAATACCCTCTGAAATCAATTGTGGCCCTTTTCTCTCTCCAGATTCTTCGCAGAACCCCAATTGCCTCACTGGAGTGGATCAGCCGCACTTGCACCTGGGCCTGCCCAGCCCAGAGCAGGGGGAAGAACAGCAGGTATGTGCCATTCTCCAGATCCTGGACATCCCCAGGAACCCCTGCCTTCAAGTCAGGACTCAACAGCTGTACCCGAAACAGATCCCCGCCGTGGGTCTTGGGCTTGCCCCGATGGTCTCTGGCCACAAGGATGGCCTCCAGGTAGCCTCCTAGGGCATAAGTGGCCTGGGCAGGACCCCTCAGGTGGTAGGTAGAGGTCCGGGGGCTGGTGGAAGCCAAAAGGTTCCCCCCATCTCCTGGGGTTGGAGGCCAGAACAGAAGATGGGTCAGGTTGGCAAGCTCCTGAGGGAGAGAGTACAAGAGGGAGGGAGATTCTGTGGACACGGAGGCAGATTTAGATGCAGGGCGGGGTGCTGGTGGCCGAAAGATGGTGCTGTCAGGCCAGGACATCTTGAAATAGAGGATCTGTGGGTAGAGAAAGGAGAATCCATCAGTGGTTTGTGTTTCCCTCCCTTTCTTCTGGGAAGGAGATTTCCACTCACCGAAACTAGTCCCCTCTGCCTGGAGTCCTGTTCTGCTTGCACCAAGCTGTCTGTCACTCAGCTTAGTGTCCGAGTCATTACCACATTTATTTGAAAGGAGCATCTCATGTGAAGGTAAATTTACATCTCTGGATTTCAACTGTCTCCTATCTCAGCCTTATTCCCTCCACTACTCCGCAACATATACAGAGATACGTTCAGGCCTGCATTTGACTGTCACATCTCTAGCTTTCACGTCTTATCTTTCACAAGTCTTGCTTCCCTCCCAGAACCTGGCATTCTGATTAAGTGTCCCCTTTTTTCTTCCTAGTCCCTCTCTCCACCACTCCACTCCACCATCTCCGTCCTAGATATCCAACAGAGAGCAAATCCATTCTCAATGCTGCTGAGGGTTATAGAAGAGGGAGATTAGACCATCCCTTAGGGAACTCCCTCTCTAATTGGGCTTTGTGAACAAAAGAAGCTATTCAACCAAATAAACCATAGGAAAAGTGAGAGGCTGTAGAAAGGCACAAACACAGATGTGTGTTGGAAAAAGGACTGAGATACAGCAGATTTTTTTCTAGGAAGAAATGGCGTTTGCTATGTCAAAGAGTCTCCTCCAGGGGCCCAGAGTTCTCTGGTATATTCGGAGAAACACAAAGTCACAAATACAGACCAGAAAAGTGTAATGAGCAGTATAGGAAGAGCAGTAGAGAGAGGTCATATTTTGTGCAATAGAAGGTGGTAGTGGACGGTGAGAGGGAGCCAATGTGCCTGGCCTATCAGATACTCATCTACACCCACCAATAGTCCCATCTACTGTCATTCAGAAAAGAAGCAACCCACTGACACATCTCAAATTCCATGGCAGCACCTGGAGGGTGCGTTTGAAGCTACAGTCTCTGGTTTGATCGCTGGAGGAGAAAACACAGGATTGGCCCATCTCTGGGCTGGAGAAGAGCAGGGATCAACATCATAGAGTCTGGGCTCAGATCCAGTACTATGTGGTTCCTTGGGATGCTTGGCTCACACAGGCCAGTAGCATCCTGGGGGAAAGTATACCTGGTAAGGTGTCTTCCTGATGGGACCTGTTCACAGGCCCTCATCCTAGGCTAAGACAATGTTGGCGGGGTGTAGGGCACAAACTGATAGATCACAAATCGGAATGGTTTCCTGTCCATCCTAACAAAGGGCAAATACGTGCAGATGAACATGTCCCATTTCCCAGAAGCAGAGACTGTTTTTGCCTCCTGTCACTTGCAGCTTTGCCACCATACAAAGGGTCCTAAAGATTTGAACTGACCAGTAAGAGCAGCCAAGAGATCAGGTTACAGCAAATTTGAACAAATTTGAGAGAGAAAGACCAAAAATATCTGTTAAACTTGCAAAGAATCATTAGGTGTGGGAGGTTACATGGATGTTTGTTTTATTATTCCTGATAAATCCTATACATTTTATATATATTCTCTGGTATGTGCAAAATATTTCATAATAAAAACAAATTTTTTAAAAATTCTATGCTTAATTTCTCTTTAACCAGAGAGTAACTATAAAAAGAAAAATATGATCTGTCTAGATACAAATAAAAAGAGAAAACGTCTTTAAGGTAGCAGAGTAAAAAGTCCAGGATCCTCTTTTCCTCCATGAATACTCAGATTCAGCAACAATTCTCAGACCAATCACCTTTGTGAAAAATACAAAAACTAATTGAAAAGCTCCTACACTCTAGGCAAATGTGAAACCAGACTTACCAAAGTTGGTGGGGAGATTCAGGACACCCTCTTGCCAAAATCTCTACCCCTGGTACACTGCCATATGATCAGAAAGAGAATCCCTAGCTCTCAGCTTCTACCAGGGAAAGGACAGAGCTGGTCCAATGGTCCATTGCCCCAACTTTTCCTTAAGGCTTCTCAGAGGACTGTCTTCAGTCTTTCCAGTTTGGGAATGCTGATGAGACCAGCACAATCTAGCTGCTTGCGGGAGAACACTAGTAGTTACTACAGCTCCTCCCTCTGGCTCAGCACAGCTCCTTACGCTGGTTAAAAGAAGCCAGACACAGACAAATATTGCATGATCCGCTTTATATGAAGTTAATAAAATTGTCAAATTTAGAGTCAAGGAGTGGAATAGTGTTTGCCAGGGTCTAGCGAGAGGGGGAAATAAAGTTTCAGTTAAGCAAGATGAATAAGTTCTACAGATCTGCTGTAAAACATTGTACCTATAATACTGTATTATATACATTAAAAATCGTTAAGCAGCTAGATCTCATGTTAAGTGTTCTTATCACAAAAAAATATAATTTTAAAATAACAAAATAATTTATTTTAATCAAAGACCCATTAGAGTGAAAAGCAGGCATGACACAGAGCTGGAGAAGATATCTGCAACATGCACAATAAATGAATGAGCTTGTATCCAAAAATAAAAAGAATCCCCACAAATTAATAAGACAATCCAATTAAAAATGAATAGAAGATACTGTAATAGCAGTTCACAATAGAAGAAATTCAAATGACCAGTAATTATATGAAGAGGTGCCCAGCTGAATTAGTAAGAAAAGGAATGCAGATTAAAACCACAACGAAATACCTTTCTGTATTCAAAGAAAGGATATGACTTATGAACAATACCAGTGCTACTGAGGATCTAAAGCAACTGAATCTCTCATGTAGTGCAGGTGAGAGAATAAACTAGGAAAACCAGTTTGGAAAACTGTTTGGCAATATGTACTAAAATTTAACGAATGCATACTCTAGGACCAAGTGATTTAGCTTGTTGGCATATCCCCAACAGGAAGGCATGCATATGTGCACCAGGCAATATTTAAAATAACCAAAATAAAAGCAACCCAAGTGAAAAAAAATGTCCATCAACAGTAGAATGGATAAATAAATTGTCATATATTCATACACTGGAGTACTAGAATTGAAATGAAAAATTAACTAATAATAGCCTTATGCTACAACATGGATGAATTTCACAAAAATATTGAATTAAAGAAAACACATAAATGAGTACATAGTGTATGATTACATTTCTATAAAATGCAAAGTCAGGCAAAAATAAACTCTAATGTTTGTAGTTGGAAAGAAGAGGAGGTGGTAGTGACAGAGGGAGGCAAAAGAGGAAGCTTCTGGAGGGTACTGGTAATTTTTATTTCTTAACTTGAGTGATGATTACACAGGTATGTTATCTTTAATTTAATTGAGCACTATGATTTATGTATGTTTTATGTATGTTATGATTCAACTTTTTTAAAAGGTGGAAAGTATTGGCCGCTGCACCAAGATGTCTCACTCCCTTCACAGAGAAAGGATACTCTGGAAATGAAATCAGCACTTTTTTTAGAGCTGATTATTAAGGAATTAAAGAATTAAGGTTTCCTTGTCAACTCCTTCACTGTTAGAATAAAGACCAGTTTGACAACCTATCTCGCCAGATCAAGCACTTTTTAACAGAAACCAGAAATCCATATTTTCATGTGAAATCTCCTACTGTTTAAATATTTTAAACCTGAATTTAAACAGGCCAAACAAAATGCATCTATAGCTACATTAAGCCCAGAACTCCAGTTGTGACCAATGGACAAAAAGGGAAACGCTTTCTTCTGGAGGTATTCTTAGTTTCTTGCCATACCTAAGTTCCTAAAAGGCACAACAAAGGTCACTCCAGCCAATTGCCCGCTCTATCCAGCCAAGGATTTTTCTTCCTGAAGCGTCCCCCCTGCCTCTTTTCTCTGTACTAAAAAGCAGGACTGAACATCGAGGACTTCTATCTCTTTCTCTTACACTGCTCAGAAAGTGTGAGAGAGCTAAGAACAATGTGAATTGCTTTTTTTTTTTTTTTCTCTCCAGATTTCCCTGGAACAATCTCTTCTGGGTTTGTGTTTCTAATTCCTTAATAGAACCCAACTCCCAACTTCTCGCCCTCCTAAGGATGACATCCCACCTTGCAATTTCTGCCACTGGAGTTACACGTGGCACTGGGAAGGAGAATGAGAGCTCCCTCAGTTCCCTCTCTCAGGTTAAGGCAGTAATAAATCCAAACTTGAGGTTGTACAGGAAAGAACAAATGAGCCAGCGATGAGAGGGAGCAGAGGCAAGGGCAGTACTCACCCACACCAGAATGACCAACCCCACAGTCAGCATCTTGTCCCCCTTGCATCGCCCTGTGAATGCAACCATGGCAGCCTAGCCTCCTCAGCAAAATATCTGGTATGAACCTGGGATCTAGGCAGAGCACAAAACAATGAAAGTTTAATAGGTAATCCCAATTATAGAGTGAGTTAACACTGGTAACTTTGCAAAGGTAGTACACTGCCGCGGTCCAGCCACGACAGGATCCAGGGGGCCCCGAAGGTGGGCAAGGCGTCGGCGCGGGAGACAGTCGACTACACAGCTCAGAGGCGGTGTGACACTGTTCCGTTTTTTTGTGATTTGAGTACAACTTTTATACTTTTTATTTGGCATTTGATTATACTTTGTTGTTAAGGTAGCAGGGAGTTAAATTTCAGTGGTTAGGCGAAGCAGAAAATCTTATAGAGTATATTATTATTAATGTTCATGATTAACTAGTACATTTTTCTCTCAATCATTAGAACAGAACTACCTGATGGAACAATCTAAACTTTTAATTATTATATCTATTACGTAAGATACAGTTTGATTTAAGTAAAGGTGATAGATAGATGTATTCATAACAGCAAGTATTGGCTTGTGGGCAGACATTGTTCTTCTTTCTGCCTGAAGAAATCTTTTAAATGCTATTTGATTTATGCTATATCTAAAGTTCAAGCTGAACCTTTCTCATAGCTGTTCAAAAGTTTCCTTGGTGCAGTAATGAGGAAAATATTTATAAAAATCAGTTTTACAAAGCTGCTTTCATAAGCTAAGTTTCTGTTCCTTTGTTTTTAAGCACCAAGGAGATCCTGACCTAGCCAGCCTTTCTATGAAACTTACACTACTATCAGGCACATGAATT